AGAATTTCAAGCAAGCCAAATCCAACATCATTTTAAACAGGGAGAAACAAAGCAACGCCACTAAAATTAGGAATGAGAAGGATGCCCACTCTCTCTATAACTCTTCAATGCAGTGCTTGCAGTAATGGCTAGAGCAATAAGACAACTTAATGAGATCAATGGGACACAAATAGGAAGAAAAGAAGTTACTATATCTTTATTAGCAAATGATATGACTGTATACATAAATGACCCTAAAAACTCCACCAAAGTAATTCCACCACTGATAAGCACTTGTAGTAAAGTAGCAGTATACAAGATTAACAAACACACACACACACACACACACACACACACACACACACACAACAGTAGCCTGCTTATATACAAATGACAGATCGACAAAGAAATCAGGGAAACAGTATCTTTCATTCACAATAGCCTCAAAAAAATTCTTGAGATAACTGTAACTAAGCAGGTGAAAGATTTGTAAAATAAAAAACTTCAAGTCTTTTAAGAAAAAAATTGAAGATACCAGAAGATGCAAAGATCTCCCATGCTCATGGATTGGTAGGGTTAACATAGTTAAAATGGTCATCCCACAAAAGGAATCCACAGATTCAGTGCAATCCCAATCAAAATTCCAACACAATTTTTCACAGAAATTGAAAAAATAATCATAAACTTCATATGGAAATGCAAAAATCACAGATAGCCAAAAGATAATCCTGAATAATAAAAGAACTGCTAGATGGATCACCATCCCAGATTTCAAGCAGTATTTACAGAACTACAGTAATAAAAACATCGTGGAATTAGCATACAGTGGAGTGGATCAATGGAATAGAATTGAAGACACAGACTTAATTCTATGTACTTACAGACACCTGACTTTTCTAGATGGCCATTTTTGGCTTCTTTGTTCAAACAAACAAACAAACAAACAGGTGTCCGTAGGTACATAGCTGGAAACTGGAAACAACCTAGATGTCCATTAACTGATGAAACAATTAAACAATGAGAATGTGATACATTTACACAATGATCTACTATTCAGTCCCATCTAAAAGAATTGCAGGGATTCTCCTGCTACCGTTAGACTTCTGCCTCTCTCCTCATCTCCATCAGATTCCTGAACCATACAGGTAAGCTTCCCTTCTCCCACCTACCTGCCCTGCTGGCTGAACACTCTGGGTCCAAGTCAAGCTGCCCTGAGAAGCTTGCTATCCTAGGGGGCCCTCCATTCTCCCACCACCTCTCCTTCACCTCCACCAGACTCCTGAACCATATAGGTCAGTTTCCCTTCCCCACACATCTTCCCTGCTCTCTGAGCCCTCTGGGCCAAGCCAAGCTTCCCTGAGCAGCCTCCTAGCCTAGGGAGGCCTTTATTATTCTGCCACCTCTCTGCCCACCTTCATCGGACCTGAGGCTCCTGAACCTTACAGAACTGCAGGTCCAGAAATATATTGTCCATCAGAGCCTAGCATAACTGTCCTGAGTGGCTATACCCAGCAGCAGTTGGAAACAGTAGCAGGTACCCACAGTCAAATATTAGACGGAGGTCAGAGACACTTACAAAAGAGTTGAGGGAAGAATCAAAGGCCCAGAAGTAGATGGGAACTCCACTGGAAGACCAACAGAGTCAACAAACCTGGGACCCTTGGGAGATCTCAGAATCTGAGCCAACGAAAGAACATACACTGACTGGACTGAGGCCCCCAGCACACATGTAGAAAACAGGCAGCTCAGTCTTCACGGCTGCCCTTTCTGGCCTCAGTGGGAGAGGATATGCCTAATCTGGCAGAGACTTGATGTGCCAGGATTGGGGAAAATAAAACCTATGATGAAAAAGCACTACATGGTTGGAAAATTGCAATATAGAGACTTTCTGGTAAATCCTGATATTTATGTTTTAGATTTCTAAATGTACTGAAATAGTCATTTACCCACAGTGATCTGAATACATCTGGTAAAAAAGGAAGATAAACTGTGTCTGTGTTTACAAATGACAGTCAAATTGAATCAGATCTTGTGCCAGTATGGAACAATACAGCATTAGAAGTTGTATGATGATTCAGCCTAGATACCCTCTTTACCCCATTTTGCCACTGCTTAAGTACTTAATGTTTAATACTTGACATGTGCACCACATCTCAATGGTTTCTTCCTTGATCACATATTTTCACTGCAGAATGACAATGTAACAATCTCTTTCCTTCCAACATCCTTTCTGCTTCATGTTCCGTTTGCATGTTTGTGTCACTTAAAAAAAAATCTTGTTTTCTACAGTTTGAAGGTTTTTGCCTCCCCACTAAAGTTTATAAGGTTGAAACTTAAGCCCTTTCTGTATTAGTTTTCTATTGCTGTGAAAACATCTGAGAAAGCATCTCAACGCAAGGAGGATTTATTTATTTGGCCTTCCGGTTTCAGGGATTTTGGTGAAGGGTCACTTGGCTCTGTGTTTCTGGGCCTGTGGTGAGGCAGAGCATTTCATCAGAGAGGCAGCATAAATTGGAATTGCTTAATTCATGGTAGTAAGGAAGCAGAGAGAGAGAGATGTGGGAGAAAAGGTACAGTAATGAGATACAACATTCAAAGGCATCTCTCAAGGATCTTTGGCTTATTTTATTTTTTATTGGATATTTTATTTATTTACATTTCATATGCCATCCCCTTTCCCCTCCCTAGAAACCCCCCATCCCATCCCCCCTCTTCCTTTTTGCTTTTATACAATTTTAATTACATGAAAGTATTAAGGTCAGTTCTAGGTTGAGGAACAAGCAATACAATAGATGCAAATAGTCAAGGAACAATCAAGACAATGAACACAAACAGTCAAAAAACAAGCAGGGCAATAAACAAAATTCTGTGAACACTCCCATTATCACTATTTCTAAGGGCTTATCAGGATGACCAAAATATTTGACCCTACTTCCCTGTCCTAGCCCAAAGTCATTTTCATGTCTGAAGCCTACTTCCTTGTTGTAGCCAAAGATTTACATTCCTGCCTGAAATTATTTCTTTGTTCTAGCCTAAAGGGGGAGAGGCAGAGAGCTTCTGGGGCTGCTTGGCAGGAATCTGACACTGGCCATGGACAAAAAAGTGGGCTTCAGGCAGAAATCTGACATTAGGCTAGATCAAAGAAGTAATTTCAGGCAGATCTCTAAATCCTAGGCTAGAACAAAGAAGTAATTTCAGGCAGGGATTGTTGGCTTCTTAACAGCACCCACTTCCCAATAGTCTATTCAGCTATGAACTCAGTAAGGGGTTTATCTACTGATGAAATTAGAACCCACAATGATCTAGTTGCCTCTCAGCATTCTAGCAGCTGGCAGCCAAGCTTTTAACATTAGATCTTCAGGGAAAAGTTTAGATTCAAACCATTACAAACACTTTCAAGAGGTAGGGGCATTTTGAAGTTAGTACATCATGGGACAGATCCTGCATAAAATGGATTCCTGCTCTCACAAGAGAACATTTACAAAAGAAGCACATATGAGGCCAGAACAAGGAGGAGGCCCTGTCTATAAATGAAACCACATTTTCTTGTACATCTCAGCCTTGAGAACTACTGAGTAACAAGTTTCTGTTTCTGAATTACCACATGTAATGTGTCTGTCATAGGTCCCCAAATGGATTAAGGTGGTGTTTTACTTATTATTCATTTAGTTATTTGTTCACCACCGGGTCTTACTATGAAGGTCAGGCTGCCCATCTCTGCTCAGCTTCCTAAGTGCAAGTTTCAGTGACTGACTACCTCCATGCTCTGTGTTTTGGTGTTAATTGCCCCAAGTTTTTACAAGCTATTTCAAAAGAAGGGAAAGAGCCTTTTCATCTTTATATCTCCAATACCTAGCATGATGACAGGCATATTTCAGGAGTTCTCATTAGGTAAATGAATGAATAAATGGGTATATATGAATAAATCAGTAGAGAAATCAAGGTGGAAGAAATGTGACTTTTTAAAAAATCATGTGTTTTAGTCAAATTATTATATTCTGTTATGTCAATGTCAGCTTTATTGTCATGATTCTTGAACCTGAGGGTAGAAGTACATAGTGATTATTAAATACATTTTAGGATAGCAAAACTGAGTTGCCATTATTATACAGAAAGCAGACACTCTGCCTCATGGGAAACTATCATAATGCACATTAATTTTCATTTTCATCCACCCCTAAAGAAGCCATATTCTGAATTACTGCTACAGGTTTCTAAAGAAGAGAGAGTTACACTAAAGAAAACACGTCCTATTTAATGAGGAACTTCTATGATCCTCCTTGGACCTCCATGGTCCAAGTGTTGATTGAAAAGATCCTGAAGCCTTTGTCTGAGGAGAAAAGATAGCTCCAGAGTTCCTTTCAAAATAAAAGATAAAAGAAAAATCGAGGGAAGTAAAACAAATAAGTCAAAGAGTGAAAAATTCCCAAGCCTGCTTTTCTTTTGCCTTAGCAAATTCATTTCACTGTGGAATCATTCAGTCCTCCATCTACTCCTTATGTCACTCTGTAGGTCACAGAGGAACCACTAGGCTCTCTTACCTCACTCATGCTATGACTTCAGAGGTCAAAAAGACTATGTGACTTTCAGGAAATCTTCACCAGATAATTTTTTTCTTGATTAGCCTCATAATATTAACAATAATATGATAATAAACAATTTGCATTATTTATTTGGGATCATCAACTCCATTGCCACTATTAAGTACCTGTCAAAACTGTTGTCAATGAAGGAAAATACTACCTCTGGTTTTAAGTAAACTCATCGCATAAATAATTCAACTTCACATAGCATTCTAGTGACTGATGAACCGAAAATGGGGAGCATGAATGTGAAAATCCCTATGTTAAGAAGTGTTTGCAACATATTTTACTCATTGTAAAGGCTTCCAGTTGACACCAGTGCATTTAACAATCTATTCTATGCAAGCACATCACAGTTCCCGGGGGATCTGAGAATGATGGGACACTGTCAGGCACTCATTACTTACTCTAAAACCTTCCTTTGGACACCTGTGCATGTGCAAGAGTGACATCCAGTAGCAAGAATGAAGGTTTTCACAGTACATTTTCCTTAATGCCCCTCCAATCAGCAGTGCTTTACCTGTAGAATTCTGAGCTCAACTTGTAGCTAAGCACTGTCAAATGAAAAGGAAATAATACAATTACTAGTGTGTTGCAGGGTGATTAAATTTACATAATGTCCCTGAATTTGATTAAATGCCAGATTCCTCCTCCAAAACTTACCTGTGGAAGCATTAAATCTTGCAACCACATTCACTTCACTGCCTTTACCCCTTATCCGCAGAAGCTCCCGTTTATCTTAGCACAGATTACTGCCATCCCCCCACAGGAGCACAGCATGCAAGTAATGCCTGAAAGCTTATTCAAAAGAGTAGCAGAGGCTCATGCAGCTGATTTGCAGAGCAAATATCTGAAAAATGTGACAGAAGACATTCACTGTGTTCACACAGAGAATAGAATATATGACAGACTCAGATGCAGAGATTCTACCTCACTGCAAATGGAATGGTTTCTTTAAATGTCATCCAATGCTTTTGAAACCCACAACTTTCCTCCCACTAACAAACCCTAGGCACATAGGAACATTCACCACAGGCATATAGGAACACATTAGTGAAAAGTGAAGCCATGATATGTCAGATCTGGAGTTCATCTCTGCCAAGTTGTTAGGTAACTAATGAATGTTCTCTCATCCTAAATACCATTCCAGAATGAGATTTCAGAGTGGGGTGCTTCCCCTTTGTTTGATTGCTGCATAGACTGACTGTGACTTGACTCCTTTTCCTAATGGTATGACAAAATACTCTGGCAAAAGCAACTTAAGGGAGAACTGGTTTATTTTGGCTCAGTTTGAGGTTACAGTCCATCGTGGCACAAAAGTTACAGCAGAATGAGTTAAGGGGGCAGCCGCAGTTAAACTAAACCATAAGCCTCAAATACTTAAGCACTTATGTCCCACTCATGTTCTCCTTTTTATACAGCCAATGATCTGAGCTAAGGGAATGGTACTAACCTAAGTGGGTGTGTCTTCCTCAATTGACCTAATCAAGAAAATCCCGTCCAGGCTTGCCTGAGGCTAAAACACAATTTAAAGAATCCCTTACAGGTATGTCTGGAGGCTTGAATTCCAGGTGATTCCACCTTTATAAGGTTGACAACTGACACTATTACAGCCTGGATGACAGACTTTGAATCACACAAGTAAATTAATAAACAAACAAACAAAAATACATATGCATTGTTGTGAAGATGTACAACCTAACAAAAGGCACTATAAAAGGTCTCCCAAACTGCCTGTGCTGACTAGTTTTGTCAACTCACTTTAGGCTACACTCACTTGGAAACCCAGACCTTCAATTGAGAAAATTTCCCCTACTATGTTGTGGGGCACTTTTAGGGGCAGGTTCAAGACAGGGTTTCTCCATGTAGCTGTCCTGGAACTCACTCTGTAGACCAGGCTGGCCTCAAACTCAGAGATCTACCTGCCTCTGCCTCCCAGGTGCTGGGATTAAAGGTGTGTGCCACTATCACCCAGTGGGGCATTTTCTTAATTAATGATTGATGTGGATGAGCCCATTCCACATAAGACTGTGTCACCCCGAGTGTATGATCTTCAATGACATAAGAAAGCAGACTGAACAAAACACGATGGGCAAGCCAATAAACAGCATTCCTCATGGCTTCTGCTTCATTTCCTACTTTCACATTCCTGCCCTGACTTCCCTTAGTAACAGATTGTAATCCAAGAGTTGTAAAATCATGTAAGTTCTTTCCTCCCAAGTTTCTTTGAACCTAGTGTTTTATCACAGCAATAAAACCCTAACTAAGACAATCCCCATTATATCTACTGAAGGTTGTTCAACAAAAGTACTCATAATAATCATTTGCTTTTAGACAAAGTCATGGGAAATGGAAAGGAAAACAAAGCCCTGTCCTTTCCAATAAACATCAAGAATATAGACTGTAGCATTGGCATGCTATTTGCTGCATCCAAAGTAGTTCAGAGAAAGTACTGTTATTACTATGACCCATCAAAACTGATAGTCTTAGATATTCTTAGTCCTAGATAGTCTAAAGTTCAGTAACAGGCAGAGAGTTGTATGGAAAGTATGGCACTCAAATGCCATTATTCAATGCTTTATGTGTATATCCCCTTTAAAACATAAAAATGTGCATCAGTCCTGTTGCTCATCATTTGCAAAATTTAAAGACATTGTGGTCCACTGATAGACTTGCTACAGTGCAAACCTTAGGTCAGTGCACTCTAAGTAACTTTAAAGAGTTAACTACAATTTAGCAAGCAGGTAGTCTGAGAAACTTGAAACAGTGCTTTAGCATATGTCCCACTGACAATGCTTATGAAATAACCTTTTTAAAACTATCATTATTGGGCTATTTTTCAAGTGTGCAACAAATTTGAATATAAAAAGAACAAATTTCCAGTTGCTGGCACAAAGTAAATACTATAAACTAGTGGATTAATATTTTCTGGGCATCTGTATGTATGAATGCAATAAATAAATAGTTTTAAAGGACACAGGATGTCCTTTAGTATTTCAAAAGATTGTTTTCTAATTTTTGTAATAATCATTCAAAGGCTAAAACTGAAATTTGTTTCCCTTTAAAATATTTTTCTTTATTGCATTGATTATTATGGAATAGTTGCTATGAGTCATAAAACTGCCTTGTTCCATTATCCTTTTTTTAAAATTCCCAGGGAACACAGGGAATTAAACTCATAAATTTAATTTCAATATGTGGTAAGCTGTGAGGACAATTATTAAGGCCGTCATTTATGAGTATCTAGGGGAAACCCTAGTGATAAACAGTAGTCAATATAGTTTCTTCAAGCACAAATCATGCGAAACAAAGCGAATTCCTGCTTGTGATAGGATGTCAAACTGAATGGCAAATGTGAATGGATTAAAGTTACCCTGCCTTAAAAACAGAAGCATTTAATAGAATTTAATCTGACATTCTAGTAAGAATACCAAAGAAAGACAATAAATTGAGCCAGTAAAGAGAAACCGGATGGACTAGTTAGCACTGGTTTGATGGAAGCTCAGAACAAGTAAAACAGATGACAGGGTAAATTCCAGATGTCATCCTCATCATGAATAACCTCTCTTGGGTTATATCAACATGGAGTGAAATCTTAGACAATGTTATACAAAACATATGTAGTTAAATATGCTGTTGGGGGGGAGAAATAAACACATTGTTGATATATTAGAGATGTTTAAATCAGCCTCATCTGGTGTGTATTTTTTAATGTTAAATATTTTTCACATAGAAATATTCAATAAGAAGGAAATACTTCTAGGAAGAAAACTATCCATACAAAGACACTGCTAGTAAAGAGACGTGGTACAGTAACAGGAAAGACTGCTGTATTATTTTGGGGCAGGCTATTTCTCTTATTCTACTGACCCAAGGCTCAAGTTTTAACCCAGGGCTCTAGAGTCTTCATAAAACAGATTAGTGTTTCCACTGTATTTCATTCTGCCCTCCACACCACTTTGCCAATCTCCAGGCCTGGGACTGTACACCTAGAATTATGGGGATCCTTAGTCTTCAGCACCCTTTATCTCGATGTCTTCCTATAATAATCACCATAGTCCTTTAAGAGCAAACACAGAATCTCCTTCTTTCAAATAGCAACTTTCTAGATTCCCTAATTAGAATCAATTTTTACTCTTCAAATACTCCCATAGCACCTTGTTTAAATTTCTATGTAGGCTGTATTATTGTCTTCTTTGTATGAGAATTAACAGTGTACAAGTCGATTTTCCATTAGATTGCGAACTCCTGGAGAGTTAGAGCCATGCCTTATTCATTCTTTATCTTTTTCACAGCGGGCATTCAACAAATATTCATTGAACTGAATTAGGTTGGAACAGGAATAAACAGATCATCTGAGCAGTTATTATTGGAAATACTCAGTTCAGGACAACTGCTATTGGTCTTTCCTTTTCCTGATTTCAGATTTATTTTATAGTAGTGGAAATAAAATAAAACAATAAAAAACATTAAAAACAAACACTCTTGGAACTCAATTTCTACCACGCAGTAAAGAAATGAGGGACATTTACCTGAGATCTATAATGACCTTTCTTTTTGATACTGAAGAACATAAAATTCCCAGTATAGGGAAGCAAGATGGCTCATGTGGTAAAGACACGTGCTACTGAATTCAATCCCTGGAACTCAAATTGTACAAGGAAAGAACTGACTCCAACTCCATACATATATGATGGCACACTGCTACACTGGTATGTATACAAACATACACACACACACCATATGTATATATATTGATAAATACATACATATACATACATACACATACATATACATACATACATACATACATACATACATACATAATCAAAAAAGGAAATGCCCAATTCTGTGAGTGAGCCATTATCTTACCCTAATTCATTTTCTTTTTCATTATTAAAGTTGTTTAATTAATTAATTAACCTGTGTGTGTGTGTGTGCGCGTGTGTGTGTGCATATAAATACCATAGAATGAGAGTGGAGGTCAGAGGCCAACTTGTGGGAGTTTATTTTTTCCTTCCACCATATGAGTCCTGGGGATTGAATTTAAGTTATCCAACTTGACACCTTTACCCACTGGCCCGTCTCCATGGCCCACACATCTTTATTCCACTGGACAGAGCTAAAACTGTCCAGTGGAAAAAGGACAGCATTTTCAACAAATGGTGTTGGTTCAACTGGAGGTCAGCATATAGAAGAATGCAAATTGGTCCATTCTTATCTCCTTGTACAAAGCTCAAGTCCAAGTGGATAACATAAAACCAAATACACTGAAACTAATAGAAGAGAAGGTAGGGAAGAACCTCGAATACCTAGGCACAGGGAAAAAGTTCTTGAACAGAACACCAATGGCTTATGCTCTAAGATCAAGAATTGACAAATGAGACCTTATAAAATTGCAAAGCTTCTATAAGGCAAAGAACACTGTCAATAGGACAAAATGGCAACCAACAGATTGGGAAAAGATCTTTACTAATCCCACATCCGATAGAGGGCTAATATCCAATATATACAAAGAACTCAAGAAATTAAGACTCCAGACAACCAAATAACC